ATTTGCTTGAGCGAGCTCTGCATCTGCAGCGTGCCCAGAAATATCAGAGCTGCATCTAATGATTACAGAAATGAGTAGCAACAGTAATATGTTACAGTAGCAGCAATCCAGACTGGTTGACCAATTTTACATATGCTTTGATTTTTTGAAGACTAAACATCAAAAATAACAAACACAGCAGTCTCTATTGTTGTGCTGAGGGGTCAGGCAGTACCACATAGAAGCCTGTGGGTATCCAAGCAGCCAACTGCCTGAGCTGCAAATTGCTGAAGGCTGGAAAATATATTTGGGAAGCATCTTTATTTATATGCTTCCTCCATTCTTATACTTCTGTATTGTTTGTTCGCTGCTGGTGGAGACAGGTCGCCGATCTAGATGGACCTGTGGTGTGAACCATTACAGCTACTTCAGCCATATGGCTGTCTATCTCTCTGTCAAATATGATTGAAATCAGTCAGTGGATTTAGAACGATAAGGTAGGGATGAGCAGCCAAAAACCTATATGTACAGTATACGTGCAATGCCATCACATAAACGTAATTTTCTGAGGAGCTTTCACTGAAAATCTGACATCAGTTGATGTGAAGGCTTTTCTTTTTCTTAACTTGGACTGTAGGCTCCTGAAGGCAATAGATTCTTTCTGGTCTGTGTTTGCACAGTGCTAACAGAATATAATCCTGTTCTGTGCTAGATAGTGGATTAAATATATTACATATCTTAAAGTTACTCTGCTGTATAAACGTTTGCAGGGGCAATGTGTAAAGTAGTATATTTAACATGGTTTTGAATCCGGAAGCAATCACACCCACCACTTTCAAGACTATGCACTTATTCAGCTCTTGTGGATAGAAATACCTCTTAGAGAATAGGAATTGAGCCATTATTTTGCCTTGCCTTGAATTATGAATAAATTCACTGTACGGTTATTACTAATGCTTAAGACAAGTGCACTGGTCCGGTCAGTGACTTCATACACAGTAAGTTCTCTCTTCTTCCAATACAATTTAGTTGGAAGAACTATAAATCTAATTCTTTAAGTCTTTCATGTTAAGTCATGGGTTGCTTTTATGAACTATATTACCAGAGAGGAGTAGAAGCTTATACAATGAATTCTTATTAGCTTTAGTAATGGTCTAAATGTCTCCTCTTTCACCTTTCATCATGACACTGCAATGGAGTAATCCTAAACGCTCTTTTTCCGTTTACAGTTTTCCCAGTGTGATCAAATTATTATGAAGTTGTTAATAGTATTATGGCTGTTAGTCCATATATTAGACCTGTGGTAATATACCTTCATATTAATCTCTTGGTTTTTACTTTTCTTGTGAGAGTCTTTGTTTTAAATACTGAATGTTAAAACCAATGTCGACCTCAGCGTGATGATTGAAGAGCCTGCTGCTGCAAAAGTGGAAATGGCTTGAAGGATTGGAGCAGTAGGTGGTTGTCTCTAATTTATTAGGGGGTTTTTTGATTATTAGTTGTCAAGAAAGTTTTGGAAGTACAGGGGGTGGTGGTGATGAATTAATAGGCTGTGCCTAGAACATCTTGATTTCCCTGAAATAGCTACAGTTTACAGTGACATAGTTGTAGTTTAATAGCTGAGAAAAGGTGAGTTAGGCTGCGTTCTTGAACAAAATAGCAGCTTATGTTCCAGTCATACAGAGTATTAAGTGCCTGTTCGAGTGACTCTCATAAACACTTCTCTTGATTTCAGTGGGTTCATTGACATGAATTAAATTAAGCAGATGCTTAAAAGTTTGCAGGAACTTGAGTCTGTTTGAGCTCTGGCTGCCCAGAAGTATTACAGTGTGCTCTCACCTTCTAATAAACTTGGGAAAACACAAAAACTTGCAATCATACTTGAAATTATACATTTCAAAGTATGAATCTTTTGCTATTAAATTTCTGAATAGATGCCAGAAAAATAATTACTTCAAATCACAAATGGCAGGGGTCAAAAAAAGCTTAATCCATAAGAATCTTCCTGTAGATGAAAAAGAGAAATCTGTGTTAAGGATGGTCTGTGAAATAAAGCATCCTGGAGGAAGCATGTTAAAAAAAAAAGGGGGGGGGATTTTTTTTTTTTCCCATAAATCAATGTTTATCAAAAACAGAAGGATCTTAGCAAATCCTTCACAGAAAAGGAAAAGAACCCCAAAGATAAAATATAAACACCAGGAAAAGTGATTGATCTGGAATTCATTCATTTTTCCTTTCTCACCCCTCTTAGGTGACATGGTGATGAAAAGAGAGGATTAAAATGGGCTTCTTTAAAGCCAAAAATTTATTAGGAAATTATTAAAAGCACATTGTATCTCTTAAAGTGAAGGTTTGCTCTTTTTGGTCCAGCCTTGCTACAAAGCATTTTCAGAAGAGAACAAGAGAAAAGGAGAGGGAGAAAACATAGATCATTCTAACTTTAATTATTCATGTATAATAATATCTGTGGAATTTTCCATTTGTTTTCCCTGTCTGTCATTCACTGAAAACTGAAGACAGGTCTATATCCAGAAAGGATTTTTGGGTCAGAAACTGCTACAACTCTTGTTTGGAGAACAGTCTTGAGCCGTAACTACTATAATGGTGAGAATCCACCCAGGCAGGAACTAAGTTATGGAAGCAGGGGAATGGCATGGGAGGACCAAAATTGTCTCTGTGATAGGGCTTAAAATGGTTTCACAAATTTCCTCATAGAACAGGGACTGGATGGAATAAGTGATGTCTAGGTAACCCTATAAATCCGTCTTTAAATAAATAATATGGTGAGTCTAATTCTCCTCCGTTGCCTACATTTATTTTTAGCTATAAAATAATAACACAAAAAAGCTAAATTTATTTTAGCTTTCCATGACTGATAGTAGTATGAGCTGGCTAAGAATCACACCGTTGATCGTTGCTCAGTTGCTGTGGTGCTTCAAGCCTCTCTCTCTATCTGCAGGCCACCCAAGTGCTTTCACTAGGACAGCCGCGTCTATGAACCATTGGCTTCCATCCAGGCTGTAAAATGCTTGTAATTATGGAGTGCCATTGAAATGAAATCAGTGAAAGAGCGCTCTGCTCTTACAAATGACGCACAGAATCCAGAGATCCTGAAGACCTTTATGTTTTTATTGTGAAATGATTCCTCTTGTTCCTTGGATCTGTTTATTAATTGAGAAAAAGCACCATTCTGGTTAGCAGGATCACTATTTAGCCTGAAAAGATGCGCACAATCCAGAGGACAATGCTGTAAAATCTGTTAAATAGCTGACCTACATTTTTTGGACGTTGGGATGAAATCCACTGGCATAGTTGAAACAGCGGTCAGCCCCCCGGCAGCCTCGTGCTTCTTAGGTTGCGACAGAATTCTGCTGACAGTGTTTAAGAATTCAAAGATGGCTCGTGATGGCTTTGTTTTCCCTACTGAGTCGTTATCCATACTTCTGAAATGCAAAATAAAGTATTTTAATTTTTGAAAGAATTTACCAGTCAGATTAGAAAATAGTGACATCTGTTTCTCAGAGCGATGACTCAGAATAAGGCTCAGCGTAAATAAGACATCTTGCTGCACATGGTTGCTCCCCAATGCAGTTTGCAATTACCTGAAAGCCACTCAATGGAAGTGTGTGGAACAATGGTAGCTTTCTCATTTGGTGTGGGCATGCCCTAGATGAAGAGCAGCTACCAAGCAGTACACTGAGCCCCCTCCTTGTTCCTGCAAGTCTTTAACACTTAGGACAGGTGCTGAGTTACAGAAATGGCTTATCTGGAGGGTGCTTTGTTGATGCTTCTGTAGAGGTTAAGTTCAAAGCAGGTGGATTGAGGGTAACCCAATAGGATTCTCTGTGCGTGATAATAATCAGGTTAATTCAGAAATGAAGCATCGGGCTTACCCTGTGGCAGAGTATCTCCAATGCACATCACTGAAAATAATCTGAATTTTAAAAGTTATGTTTCTACAGTGTACAGGGATGAAAAAAGTTGGCTTACTAAGTTTAGGATTCAGTCTTTGGTTCTGCATGAATGTAAGGAAACAAAATGTAATCTCTTATATCTTTTAATATTTTCTTTTTTTTTTTTTTTTTTCTTTCCATGCACCAAATAGGCATTCTTGTATCTTTTTTAAAAAAACCTCCCAGGTCAGTTTTTGTGGCCTAAGAGGAATTTCAATTGTTCAGAAAAGCACGGTCTGAAACTTTTTCTTTAATAATTGGAGCCAATAGATGCTCCCAGTAGTGAAGTTTCTTTCTTTTTCTCCTTAATTGCAAGCACCAGCAGAAAGCTGTAGTTAAGACACTGACAATAGAATAAATAGCTGACCTGATGGAGCGTGCTTGGGCTGTAGCCAGGAATCTCATCAGTAGATACTCTCTCCTTTGGGAAATGGTTCTTTCTCTTGGCTTTGTAAGTCTTGTAGTAACCTATTTAAAAGTAAAATATTTTCTTTTTTTTTTTTTTTCTTGCTTTATTTTAAACCAAGCCTTTATTTTATAAATCACCAAATTCCAACAAAGTGGTCTGGTAGATTGTGACTCGTTTGAGAATAGGAGAGAATAATACTATTTGTGAATTATGGATTGGTTCTGCTTTTACCTATATCAAATACATCCAGGAATATGTGCTGTGAATTTATTAGGCTTAGGTAACCCTGAGTGAGACTGGTATGATAGCTCAGTTCTGCAAAACGTTGTGTTATTTCCAAAGCACCATGTACATAACACCCGCGGTCTGGAGTTCTGTTCTCTCACAAGCTCCAGCATACAGAGACTGTGGCATAAATGTATCATCAGCATATTAATTATCTGAATAATCAAAGTGAATGCCTACAGTTGCTGTTTGCTGGAGATTTCATCTGGTGGTAAGGAGTGGAGGAAGTGCCAGCTAAATAACAGCATGCTTCAAACTGTTGGAGACTGATGTTGACCCCGCATTAAAGAAAGCCAACAGCTGTGCAAGGAACCAGAGGTTCTTCTCATTCTCAGTAGCGTTGCTATGGGAACGTGGGTATAAGAACCACTAATATGGACTGGCAGCAAGTGAGGGAAATCTGTTTTAAATAATCTAAATATAAAACATAGCATTCAGACTGATATACCAGTCATGGACTAGTGCTTTACGTTGTTTGACCACTGAATTTGTCAGATGTTGAGTGAATGGAAAGTGTTTCTTGCTGACTCTTCTCAGAGGTTGAAGATGTTTTGTGGATGAGATTTGTTTGTGTATTTTGTTGGCTGTTGGTGATGTAGATGAGTAATTTACAGAGCACAGAGCTGGTTCTTGAAGGAAAAAAAAAAAAAGTGTTATTTCTTGGAACAAAAAATGATAGACATGAAAGTTGCATTTCTCATCTTGTAGGGAAGACCAGAGCTGATTTTCTGCCTGAATTTGTTATCTGGATAATCAAAGTTAATAACCATTATTAACTCTTCAGATTTAAAAAAAAAACACAACAAAACAAACAAAAAAGGGTGTCTGCAGATGTCCAAGAGAGTTGTCTCCTAAATTTAAACTAGCAACCAGATTGGTTCTTTCTGCTGAGAAAGTCATACAGATTGCTTGGGGGCTGTCATGTGGTGGTGGGATTTATGTGACTATTCCAACTCCACCAGTCATGTGAAACAGGCAATCTTTCACAAAGTCACCAGGTTTGCACAAAACTTCGAGTGCTGAAATCACTCTTCTCAGAAAGAGAAAGGAAATAAAGCAGTCTAAAGGTAAAACTGGTAAGAGGTAAAAATAAAGTGAAATACAGTTCAGATTTTCAGGACCATTGCTTTTGCATTCACCAGAATAATGCTGCCCGTGACCTACTTATGTTTCTTATAGCCGTTTACATATATAAATATATTTATTCTCATTTTCTTTTTAGGTGATCTTGATCCTTACCAAGTATTACCATACTGACATGGGGAAAGTGCTGGAGAGCTCTTTGTGGAGGTAAGTTCTCTGCTTTTCCTATAACCTCCCCACCCCGTTCTCAAATAGATCTGTCTCTTTTCCCTTTCCAAACTGCTGCTGAGTTGACTTGGTTAGCTGATTGATGCTATTATAGCGGGATTATTCCATTTGTCATCAGCTCTTATGCCTTCTCTTCCTTAAATGCAGTCCAATAAGAAAGGGTTTGAAATGAGTTTTAACAGTAGAGACAAACAGTGATAGAAAGTATAAGGTACCTTCCTGATGCCACTTTGCAAGCTGCCATTCTTTTCCTTTTCTTAAAAATTTTGCATCAAAGTTACATAAAAACTTTGAAGTACTTTTTGTGTTGGGATGTGTCTCTTGGGAGTTCTTACTGCTCTTGAGCACTGTGTTGAGATTAGTGAATAATCCTGATTTGGAAGCAGTAACAATTGGATGAAATATAATGCCAGTGCAGGTCGTTTTGTGCCTTATGACAACTGGGAATATGTAGTAATCTAAATAAATTTCTAAATTGATTCTCATATCCTTAACATTCGTGAATTAAGATATCAATATGCTTGTTGCCTGCGTCCGCACAAATTGCGTGCTCCGGTGTATAGCAGCACAAAACCAGGGCCAGGGTAAGCCTATGTTATGCAAATCATACTGGTTATCTTCTCCTGTGCTAATTTTGTTTCAATAAGTGGGCTTTTGGGGTTCCAATTTTCTGTGTATCTGTATAAATCTTCCACCACAAATTTTTGGAGACCCATTATGTATGCTTCAAAAGTGAAAGTATTTCACTGTTATCAAGACATATAATATTGTTCCAATGTTTGCTATGCTAGTTTTGTTCGGTTATCTGTAGCATTGGAAAATATTCTTGAAATATTCTGCTGGGATATCTAAATTATTGTTATAAATGACAGGAGACTTATTTGAGGAGTCTTACATGAAATTTTTATGTAGCCCATAAGCTTCAGGTCTAGAAACAAATGGGTTATGCAATACCTCATGGCTTAGGTACTCGTAAACTTCATACTGTCCCAAGAGCTTGTATGGGGACTCAGCCTTCATCTGTGTGTGTAAGGAGCTTTACAGAGACAATCCAAGCAAAGCAGTGGGAAAGGGAATAGGGAGGGGGAAAAGTCTGTGACCAGGACATGCTGCACACCAGCCTTGTTACTTGCTTTGGAGGAGGCTGCGTTGTTTTAACCTTGTGGGATTTCTCATCGTGACAGTGTATCTTTGCAATACCTTGTTGTCGTACTAGTGGCTGAGTAGTACAGTGTGGCCAGGGGCAGTGGTCCATGCAGCACAAGGGGATTTTCAAGTAAAAAAGAAACTTCTAGTGATAAAAAGGGGGTGTTCAAGAAAGAGAGTAGGATCGAATGGAGACTGCTGGGTATTGCCTCAGGATTGGCCTTTTTAGGGCTATGATGGTTCATTTGTAATTATCCTTTAAACTTACAAGATGAAAAATTAATTGCATGTTTGTTTCTGGTTTAATTTTTGTCCAACATCTTGTGCAAAGAAGACAACCAAATGGCAATTTGAATACTCCCGTAATTGCGTAAGCACACATTGCTTTCCTGTTATATACCCCTGGCCCATACAACATGTGCAATGTGTTTCAAGTTTTGCTATCCATGCTTCAGTGTAATATATCATAGGAGTCTTTTAAACTTATTCAGTTTGACTCTTCAAAATAAACACTCTGCTCTTTCAAAATAAACATAAAACAGGCTTCAGATAATGTTGCTTTCTTTTGAGAACATAAACACTTCAAACAAGGTCATTCAGACCTTGCTGACAGCTGGTGTAAAGAAGAACTGGTGTGAACTGCATTCAAGTAAAATTGATGCTAGCGTGCATCATGGGGAAATCAAGCCCTGTTACTTACAAGTAATAGATGTACCAGATGCTTTAGTTGTTTATAAAACCAGGATGGAAAAGCTGAAAGGAAGCAAGTGCTTAAGATTAGCACTCAGGCCAGGGGTGGTAGCTGATCCATCCCTAGATATGTTCTGCTCTGGGCTCAACTCCTTCCTCCACCTCTGCCCACTGGTGTAAAAGCGGTATGTGCGGTTGTCAGACTGGGGGAGTTACAAAGTGCCTGGATCTGGAAAAGCACAAATGACACCAACTGGTGCAAAAATATCGAATGGTGTCTCTCTCTGTTGAGATGTAGCTCATTATTTGCACTAAGTAACATAAAAATAAATACTGTCCATGAAGTCAAGGAACTTTTGTGGTTTTTCTCTGTGTGAAATGGTTGGGTGTACATTGGTGAGGCTCCATGTTTACTGATGGAGCCGGGCTGTTGTACTCACATTGGCAACCTGCCCAGAACGCACAACGTATATACTTTAAAACTTTTTTGTTTGATTCTCTTTTGCATTCCTCTCATTTGCATCAGAACAAATATACAGTAAAATGTGAAAAAATGTTGCAGGGTTTTTTGTCAGCGGACAGAAGCCACTGATCTTTGAGGTTTCCGTGCCCCACTGATCTTTGAGGTTTCCATGCCCTGGTGGGAATGGATCCTATCTGGTTATTTCCTGAATCAGTCCAGTGTTTTTCTTCTTCCTATCTTGCCTGGCTAAATCATACCAGACACTTCATATTCTTAAAGTCTCTAAGTGAAAATAAACTTGGTTTATGACATGATGAATACCCACCAGGTTAATTTTTTAATGTTGTTAATCTCCCACTTTCATCTTGCCAATCAGTAAATATTATCCTAGCTTGGCATTTATCGGTTCTTTTATTTCTTGAAACCGTGCCTTTCTTTTCTTCCTCTAAAACGTAATTCCTCTTCATCTCTTTCTCTTTTTCTCCCATCACTCGAAATAAATGTGGGTTTTTTTACCTTGCTTAGTGGAACAGGGAATAAGAAGAGAATGGTGACTCAGTGGCCCAGTGATGCTTATTTGTTCTTTAGTAACCTTGGAGTTGCAGTCAAACTTTTAAGAGTAATGCAAATGGTGGGGAAAAACACCAGTCAGAGGTAGATGTCCAGGAGCACTTTATGTGAAGAAGATAGATTTTGGAAGTGGACCTACATGACGAATTTCTCTGCCTCTGCAGCACATTGTTAATTTGTGTAGGAAATTGTATGCCTCCCTACGCAGGTCAGGTTACAGGATTGGGAGGCCTAAATTTTAATTACCTTGTGATCTTTTCATTGTTGAATAAACATGGAAAATGGTGCTGGATAATGAAAATCTTAACAAGTTTTTACTAGTAGCAGCCGTATCTGGTTACACTGAAGAGGTGGAAGCATAAATCTTTGTGGAAGCACGTAGTTAGCAAACACTAGGGTGTGCTTCTATAGTCAACTATTGCTGATACTTTGCTAATTTGCTTATTAAGTAATTGTTAAGGTTGGGGTAAATGGTAGCATTATTTGACTCAAAATAAGTTAGGAAAATAAACAGAGATGACATCGTTTGCCTCTTGAATATAAATTAAAGTGAACACAAGATTGTTTTCAGGTTTGTTTTTAGAGTTTCTAAAATGCAGTACATATTGGGAATACAGGTTGGTTGTCGTGTTAGGCCTCATTAGCATAATGAAAAACTGATACTGTGACTAAAACTTAAAATTCAGGTACTGAAATTATCTTTGCAAATTGCTCATGTATTGAAGATACTTTGCATACTAGTGCTGTTCCTGTCAGAGTCCACACATATCTTTATCCATCATGTTTACTGTATGATGACCTGAAACAAATGGATCATTTAGGATAATAGATACCTGAGTATGTGTTTTCCTATGCTTTATGGACCAGTTTGTGCAGAAATGTATAGGTCCACATATTTTACAACCTCAGGTGCCTGCTTGCATAGGTTGCATGCCTGCAGCTTTAGACATATGTACTTGAATCTTACAATCACATATTTTAATTTTGAATTGGTAGCCACTAAGAATTTAATACTAATACTTACCTGCACACTTGAGTTAATTAATCCTCATAACGTCTCTTTGAAATAGATTATTTCTATTATTAGTTCATTTTTTACACGAGGCACCTGAGGTGGTAGCTGATTGCTGAAGGTTATGCAGTGACTAAGCACTCTATGGCCATGGAATTGCCTTCCAACGCTATGCTTAGGCTGGCTCAGAGTCCTGTTTCTGGTCTGCATGCAGCCGTGCCCTTCTTAACTTGATCTAAGCAATGAATAATAGATGCTGCTGCTGATCGCTAATAAAGTTTTGATTGCGCATTACCAAGCTGTAATGATACGGTAGTGCTAATGCGACTTGCTGTGTAATTGCCATTGTTCCCAATGGCATCACCATGTTGTTATTGCTTCACCGCAGCAAAACAAACGGCATTATTTGATGTTAACTGCACTGTTAACTCCTCTCAGCATTGCATGCTGAACCCCAAGTAGGTCCATTTTTGGAGATGTTGGGATTTTTTTTCCCCATGTTGTCACTAATGAACTGCTACCTGGAGAAACAGACTTCTCTGACTGCTTAAATATGGTTGGATACCCTGGCTGAACATCCCGGGATTCCTTACTCCAAATGCAGCCTGAGGAGGGAGTGCAGTCACAGTGCTGCTCAAGGAGGTTGTGAGTCCAGGTCAGTGGCCAGGCAGCTGGAGGTGGCAGCTCACAGATGAGCTCGGGGTGAGCCTCATGGAGAGCATGAGACTCTACAGACCTCGGGGAGTCAGGAAAATCGTCTCTTTGGTGGCACAGCTGTTTCTATCTACGCCCACAAAAAGCCACCTACTCAGGGCAAGACCGGGTTGTACAAACCCACTGGCAGTCAGTAGCGATCAGTGCACAGTGGCCGCATGCTGCTTTGGGCATTGACACAAAGATGCATGCCTACACCAGGGTTAAAACCCAGCCTACAAAGAGCAGGAGAGTCTTTTATGGTAGATGCAGGGAACAATGTACCACTCGAGAAAGTAAAATTTCCAGACCGTGTGTGGCTCACGGAGTGCGAGAAAACGAGTATGGGCATCTGTTTCCAAACTCTTTAGACTTGTAGGTGAAACTCATTTCACCTGTTTAGTG